TTGACCTCGTCCACTCCAAGCGCCCTGAGCTGTAGCTTGAGACTGCGGTCTCGATTGAGCCGGCTGGGGTGGCATCGAAATCTGAGGCTGCTGCTCTTGCTGTGGAGGACGTTGACCTCGTCCTGCGCCCTGACCACCACGTCCTCGACGTGACTCACCCTGTCCAAGTCCCATACCCCTTCCTCGGCCTCTTTGCTCAAGAGTCAATCCTTCCATCTGTGTAGTAGTCCGTGCAACGTCTTGACCGGCAGGACCAAACGATGGTCGAGATGGAGGAGGTGCAGTGGTAATTATTCCTGGAGCTCTTTGTGCACTCCTTGGAGGGGCCGTCTGAGATCGTTCCTGCTGCTGACCTGGTGGCTGCTGGGATGATTCTCCACCGTCCTCTCTTCCTCCTCCTTCGCCTGTTCGTCCCTTCTTCTTTCCTTTACAAGCGAATAAAATGGAAAATAAAAACGATTGAAAAAAGTCACAGTAGGAGAGTCCCTATTATTCTTTTAAATATTGTTATGAATTTACGATTACCCTCTCTGTAATTTCCTCTAACATTTAGAGGAAAATTCTTATCATCCATTTTACATTGCTTTCACATAGAGTGATCGCATTGTATGATGCAATATATTAACAATTATTATTTAACCTTTCAATAACAAATAAATACTCCACTCACCATTTCGTCCCATTGTTCGGGTTTTATTATATACAAAGTGTAGCAATTACTCCGTGCAGAAAGCAAATGTCAAAGCGGTTTTCGTTGTTATAAAATGTTTTTCTCTGCTGGTTTTTTTGTTCAGCTTCACGTTCTGCTGTTGTGAATATAATGGACGCTCCTCAAAATCCCCCGATTTTGTCAGCAAATGTTTTTCTTGCAAGTACAGACCAATAAACAATTTCAATTGCTGGCGTAACAGTTGACTCAACTTCCTATCCAAAGAGGATTGACTGGAGTAGAGGCTCACTTCTGGGGGTTTGAGTGACCCCGGTGGCATCGTAGTACTGCACCCCAAGAGAGGGAGGGCGCAACACGCAATGCTGGGGTGTTTTTTATTATTAACCAAGTTTTTATTGCAATGCTGGGGTGTCTCAAGTCGACGGGGTGAATTTTATTTTCTGCGGTATGAATGTTTTTTGTTTTTTATTTGTTTAACTGAAATTTAGCCGACTGTAGAACGTGTGGAACGGGGAAACTACATCTTGTGGAATTTCAATGGAAAAAATTATTTAATATATTGAAGATATACCACTAATTAAATTATATTTTCATAATGAGCGCGTTGTTTAATTGGCAACGCGCTTGACTGGCACGCGGACCGCTTCGGTTCGATACCAGCATCATTCATTTTTTTTTTCAAAATAATTCCAATTTTATCTTTTTTGAATGGCTAATCAATCGAAATATTGTTTAAAAACTGAATATTTGAAAATCGAAAAGATATCCAGTGAAATTGAAAAATTAGCAATTTTTTAAAACGATACTTTTGCAATTTATATACTCCTAATGAAATTATATTATTGTAATAGTGCGTTATCCTAGGAGGGAGCGCGTGAGGAGTCGCCCATAGCGGTCGTGTTTTTTCGCCTTCCCTAATAAAACCATCATTTACAGCTTTTATGCAGAGCTCATTAGCTAATAACCGTTAACATCAGTAACAATAAGTTCAGTGAGTATTATAAAGAGCCTACAGGCCCAAACTACAAGATCAAAATGAGTGAAAGTGCTCATACGAAGAGAAAGTTTGAGGACGGTCTAAGCACCTCATCGCAACCCAATACAATGAAATCCCAGGACAATTTGAAAAAAAATCGGAGCACCTCCACCTCCGAGGCCTTCGAATATAATTACAAGAAACTTATCAAAGAATACGGTGCCAATAAATACACCATCAACAAAAAACATAGACCTAACCTGCAAAGCGCCAGGAAAACCACGACCACAGCCATTGAGAAGGGCTCAACTGCGCAGTACAACACTGACGAGTGGATTTTTCCAAAAAAAACGACCAAACGCCCGGAAAAACTAGAGGCAGAAAGCAACGAAACTATTGTAACTAGTAATAGCTATGAAGATCTCTGTCCACTGGTGGACAGT